TCAAGCAGTGGGGAAAATGGCTGGAAGATGGATGGAATGGGCTTAGGAGGTCCTGGAGGAGCTCTGAAAATAATTTGGCAGAGTTTCCCCAAGGAATTGGATGGTATCTTTCCTTGGTCATAGAAGGTAGTTTTAAGTAGAGGAGGAAGGAGAGGCCACCATGGCTGGCTAGTGGGTGCAAAGAGTTGCTTAGGTGGAGTGCTGAGTGGCACAAGTGGCCAATTAGAATGAGCCAACTCAGGGAGTTCAAAACTTGAGTTAAGGCTTTGGGGTGGCTCTCGATTTTGTTGTTTTCCGGCCAGTAGGCCGGCCAGCCAGGCCAGGGCTGGTAGTTAGGTGGCCAGGTGAGCCAGTGGGAGGGTTAATAATGATTAACTCTAAATTGTTAAGGCTTGATGGCAAATATCTTTGGGATTAGCCAAATATAGAAAGAGATCCCCTAAATCATGGGTCCTTTGGTCCATTGCTCATGTAGAGTTTGTCTACGTGGTTCTAGCCTGGTCTCTAGGGTCCAAATGTTGATTGTGGTGGCTATGGTTTGATCAATTTGGCTAAGTTTTGTTACATGCATGGTTTGGGTTCATAATCATGTCATGAGCTTGGATTTGAGTTTGGGTTTGGCTAGACTTTGAATTTGGCTCAATTAATTGATCAAATTGGCCTGGATAATTATCCTGACGAGTTTTGAAAGGTATTGTCATGAGGATTTTGGAAAAGGAATTGAGTGATTTTGAGTTGATTTGGAAGGTCAATTTAGTGGAATTTGAGCTTTTGGTCAATTTTTGGGGTTTTTACTTAAGTTAGATTTGGGTGAGCATTGAGTTCAAATTTGGGTCAATTGATTGTTCAAACTGACTTGGAGAAGTGTTATGAAGAAATTGGAATTCAAATTTGAAGAATTAATTTGATCATGGAGTTCAATTTAGAGAATTTAAGGGTATGGTTAAAATTGGGGATTTCGGATTGAGATTGAAATTGGTTTTAAAATTGGGTTTAATTGGATTTAGATTTGGTTTCAATTGGGATTGGGGATGATGAATTTGAGTTTGGAATTATAATTGGGAGAGATTGAAGTCAATTTGATGGAAATTGGTGATGAATTGGGAATTTGGGCCTTTAAGGCAAATTGGAGAGTTTGGTCAAAATGGGACAAATTGGTCAAACTGGACCCAATTGAGTGGTTCAAATTGATTTTGGGGATATTTGGAGTGATTTTGGAGATTTTGAAAATTTTTTGAATTTTTGAGGCCTGAAGGGCACTTTGGTAATTTTGTGAAGTTTGGGGCCAAGGATGGTCAAAATTGGAATTTTGGTAAAATTGGGAGAGATTGAGGATTTTTATCATAAGGTCACCCTATTTGAGCCATAGGACTAAGGGAACTCCCATTCTGGATCCTTCATATGTCGGTCTTAGCCGAACCATAGCGCAGAGCTAATGGCTTGGGGGACCATCTACATAAGTTTCCAATATAGTAGGGGATCAATTAAGCATATTTGGCTAAGGATGAGGTTGTGTGTTTAAGAGCAAGTGTGTGTGTGCAAGACTAACCAAGGGCACACCACCCAAGGTTAGTCATAAGGGGACTCTTCTTGAGCTCCCCCATATTGGTCCTACCTACTAAGTGCTAGAGGTTAGAACTAGCATGTGGAACTTCAAGATGAGCAAAGAAGAGTTTAGAATTTCTATTAGTGAGAGTACCTTCACTAGTTCTCTAGGAATAGTTAACAGGAAAGTCATATGGCTAGATCCTAAGCTTTTAAAAAAGAAAAACTAGAAATCAACCAAAAGTGAGGTTAACAAGCACCGGGAAAATCAAGAAGCTACACCTAAGCGTCACATATCTTCTGCTTAAGTGCCAGAGGTAATTACTTGATGATTCAGTGAACTTGGATGAATTTGGAAGAGGTGTTTGAAGCAACTCTTGGTGAAAACTTGGGATATGGTTAATGGACACAAAATTACATTCAATTGGCTTTTGAAAGAAGACAACTCTTAATAGACTCATTGAATATGGACACACTTTGAAGAGACACAAAAAAACCTTCTGAAAAATTATAAAAGAAGACTTGGATTGGATTTAGAAGAGACTCCTACATGCCCCCACTTAAGACTCTACTGACGCCTCTCTCATACATTAATTAGGACACTTTTTTAGAAAGAAGAAGGAGAGGAGTTGTAGTGTGCGAGTAGAGAGTGTTGACAGAGAAAGGAAGAGAGGCTAAATAGTCCAACTAACTAACTTATAACGTATAAACAAAACCAAAGTGTCGTAGGGACTGAGTAGTCAATATGCAACACTAAAGCACACAAAAAAAATTGAATCAGAACACACTTATTGATTAAAATTTTAATAAAATATGTATATTGATTGACAAGTCCATGTGTACTCATTGTTCACCTAAAAATAAAAGATTTTACAAAAAGTATCAGCTGGTGCCTCAACCGGGACATATCCAAGCTAGGATAAATGCTTTAACATCAACTCTCCACCTATTCTAACCTAATAATTTATCTTATCTATTTCAAAATACTACCAAAGAAGTAGTGGGAAAGGCATCCCGATCGATCCGATCGTTGCCCAAAAGGTTACCTTCTGATACTCGACGCCTTTTCAATGGAAAGCAAACCCTCTCCATCAGAAAACTCCCCTCAGAGTGATCGGGGTCTGAATCAGAAGACCCTACCTCCACCACATGGTTGGGAATTTTCCTCTCATTTACGTCACGTTCCTTAGGTTGAACATTCCTTAAACTTGGCCTCGCTCTTTTGCTCATGGCCCAGACCATCGAGAGTCGAGCTTCCTTAATGATGGACTTAAAAAAATTTTCATCCTCTATGCTTGTTGTTGCTAAGGAATTGGAAGGCAAACTAGAAAGGGTGCTCGAAAAATATGTATCCACCCCGACCTTTATAATGACTCTGCATGGAAATCAAGAAGTGATAAATTAAGGTGTGTTGAATTGTCATGAAGACCATGAATTTGATTTAAATTTTGGATTCTCTAGTTCTTATCATAGCTGTCGCAATTAAGAAGTAAGAAAATATGAGAGCTTTAATATATACATCAAAAGTGCACCTGCATGAATCACAGATACATCCATAAAATACGAGGAGAATAACATTTTATTGGGCCCACCAAAGATGGCCAAGACCAAGCATACTTGATTATCATGATAGTTCGTTGCTCTCTGATCTAACAAGTAGGTTAGATAAAAATGGGACACTGTCATTGAGGGAAAAAGAAACATCAACTTATTACCCTTCAACCCGACATCTTTAACTAAATGGTCGCTTTGTCCAGCTGCCACCCTGCTAAATGGCTATCCATCTTAGCAAATTTTTTACTTAAAGATGCCTAGATTGAAGGTAGTCCGTCTAGAAAGCCCCCGTTCCGACGACCAAATTAACAACTTAAGAGCCCCATGAGTCTCATTCATGTATGGATAAATGTACCTCAGCCGCGTCTATGTATCTTAGGAGTATAGTATATAATTATAATTAAACTCTTCCTATAAATAGATGGTCTCTCCCATAAACAAAGGCCATGCAAATTTATTTTACAATACTGTGTTGTTGCTCTTTCTCTTTCTCTCTTCAGTTTCTCTAACGCTCTTTTCCTAGGGTGTCTCCCAGACAATTTGGGATTCAATAATATTGTAGGATGTGCTATATGGACCCTTTTAAGACTCAATGTTGATAAGTTCTTAGGCGGGGTTGTCATGCAATCTTTAAATAGGGTTGTGTTGAATGAACTCGATAATCAAAGCTTAATGGATGCATGTGAGCTTGGTTAGGTGTTGGCGAGTTAGGCGGGGTTGTCATGCAATCTTTAAATAGGGTTATGTGTTGAATGAACTCGGTAATCAAAGCTTAATGGATGCATGTGAGCTCGGTTAGGTGTTGGCGATCTCAGTAGTGGAGCTCAAGGAGCACCGATGGATTTGGTCGGAGAAGCTAGCATGAATAATAAGTATAAACAAGCTCAGTCGGAGGAGCCCGCGTTAACACTGACATGCTTAACAGAGTAGATCAGCAAGTCCTTCGACAAATCAAGTCAAAGTTACCTTCAAGGTTATGACTAGCATGTACGCCAGTCCGGTTAAAGATCGGTGTTGTAATACGTGGCGAAGGAGCTCAATCCATTAGGCCCAAAATGGCCATGTAATTTGTGGGCACTTTCCTAAAATGATGAAAATATTTTGGGTTGAAGCCTTTATGGATCAAACTAACAGCTTCATTACTGATAAGTCAAATTATGAGTACGTGTTCGCGATGGCAGGTGTGAAGTCTTTGCTAAAGCCGCCAAATCAACAGTCGCAGAAGTAGAAGGATATGTTCACACCAAATATACCATGATATTTATTTATATTCTTTAATTGTAATATACAGGAAGCAGGGAATGTCTTTGTCGCTTAGTAGTTTGTGGAGGGAAGACCTAGGTTTCTGAGGTTAGACTTCCTTCATCAGCTCTCCTTCTGTTCTTCAGGTAACTAGAAAATTTTCTGAGCGTTCTCACGTGTATTTCCTTGATTTCTGCCGGGCTTTTTATTCTAGCTTCAAGGTTGAACAAGTTTTGTCATAACTAGAAAAAAAAACTTCTCGTAGAAACTGATCATAAAATCAGAAAAAAATACTTCTGCTTGTACTCTATTCTTCATCTTGTAATCTTCGGCTTTTATGGAAATAAATAACTTCATATGAAGTTCATGATATATATTCAAGAAGGTAATCTTAAAAGCTGTTCCATGAAATGCTTTCTTAGGTGAAACGAAATTCTTTGCATATTTGAACAGTTAAGAGTACTGATCGAGGTTTTTTCTCGATATGTTTTTGTCATTATAAATTGATATTTCTCTTTAATATATGCAATGTATATGCTTATGATTAATTTCGCTATATTTCAAAACCCAGCACAAAAAATAGCGTTATATTTTATTACCGATCAGCAGTAATTAATAATATTTTTGGTGTTCTACTGGCAAGGTGCGCTTTTTGAAGAATGGAGTCAAGATCAGCTTTACACTGGATTTCAGAATCGGTAAGATCATAAAGAAGCAAAGTTTATTTATTTTATAAAAAAAATGGCTGAATATATATACTGAGCCAAAATCATCACTATATAGAAGACAACGTTTGCTGAACTATAAAAAACCTCCATCTAATTGTAAGGCAGAATTAAAAGAGTTATTTGTTATTCTCATGACAAATAAATAAATAAATATCTCTTTCATAGTTCAAGAATAAGTTTCTTTCTCCTCTCAAATAAATTTTACTAAGTTTATGTATCATTTGCTTTTTTTCTCATAATTTATGTGCCAGTGAAACCTCAATTTTTTCTTCACATAATACTAAATTTAACCAAAAGCTGAGCATACTGTGCTATTATTTATAGGGTTTGGATGATGCATCAGATTTCATTATGCAGCAAGAACTGAGCACGCTGAGTTACTTCAGTCCCCAAGAACTAATATCAACTTCATATGATAACGATTTACAACATTCTATCACTTCATCAAAAAGTTTTACTTCGTACCCGTCAGCTTACTCTCTGGAAAAGTCCATAAAAGCTTCTAATGGAATATACAAAGCTAATCAACATGGCCTGTTTTTGGTGCCTGATGCCCCGCTTCTTCTGTCCTTTAACCAATCTCAAGCTGCAAATGCTATCTATGATCAGGCTGATATGCCGAAAGATAGCATTAGAAGGAAAGGTGGGATGGTTGATGGTGAAACTGAGGGGAAGAAGATGAGGATGGGCATAGGGCAGCCTAATTATTCCGTTGATCACATTCTTGCTGAGAGAAGGAGAAGGGAGAAGCTTAGCCAAAGGTTCGTAGCACTTGCGGCTATCATTCCTGGTCTTAAGAAGGTACATGAAATATCTTCTTATTGCTTGGAGTTATAAGAAATATAATTTTGTAATAGGTGAAATTAGCTAAACTTTTTTCATTTGGTTCGATTTATGAGAAATAAATGTCGGTTTTAAACTCCGAAAACATCTTCAAAACTTCTCCCAAATAAGAATTTCATGTGGTCATAAATTATAATGAAGATTTAATCATTGTTTCCTAAAATATTTTTTCTATTCACAAACAAATCAAGTGAGCCTTTCACTGGTTCTATTTCATTAAACCTTCATGATCTTATTTATTTATTTATTTATTTTTAGTTTAAGACTAAAATATAATTGTTAGAAAGGCTCAATAAGAGTGTTAAAATATAGTAACACTTATCGGGTTTTTTGCTTTTTGAATTGAAATCTCAAAAGAAATATTTTTCAATCACCCTTTTTCTAACTTTCTCCATATTTTTTTTCAATAAATACTTTTTCCGTTTTTTCTTTATGAGTTTGAAAATTATTTTAGTCTCAACTATTAATTAAAATACCATTTCATTCATAGCTATATTTCACCAAAATTTAATAGAATCACTTATTCTAGTTTTAATGATTAAACTATGGTTAATTAAAAAGGTGTAATTAAAAGATATTTTGTTCACGATTTAAGTAAAAAATAATTGTAATAAAAATTTAGTCACAATACCAAAAAATTATCACTTAAAATCCATATAACAATAGTTAAGAAAGCGGTCAACATTGTCAGTGGTCATTTAACTACATTATTTAAGAAAATAGCTTCTAATTATAGATAAATTAATTTGTTCATGTTATTTCACATTTTTTAAAATATCTTTTCATAAGAAAAAATTCATTCCATAATATCTAAAGTAGGTTCGAAATTTTAATAATGTTCATGAAAGAAGAAAAATATTACATGTGAATCTCTGCATGCCATGTAATCCACAACGTTAAACATAGATACTTCTAATGTATCTAATATTTGCTTTATGAAAGGAGGAACATAATTGCTTCATGCCACAACTATCATCTTTAATGTATCTAATATTTGCTCCATGAAAGGAGGAAGATAATTGCTTCATGCCACAGCTATCAGCTTTCAAATAAAAAATTAATATTTTAGAAATAAAAAGTATACCTTTTAAACCAATTGAAGTTTTTTAATTGTACTTTCTTTGTAATAATAATTGTGGATTTTATTTATTTTTCTGAAAAACCAAATCAATGTTTATATGAAGTAGCACTTTAATAATTCAAAACATAATGAACAATAGTTTTAAAGCTCCAAGTAATCTTATATAGCTATTTGGCATATAGTAGTTAGAACTCTATTTAGAACTTTTTCGTTATTATGCTAAAAAATAGAGTTGATAGAAATACTTGATATTTATACAAGTTTTGCAACGTGCATTTTCCTCTTTGTACATAGTAGATTTTGCATAATATGTTCTGCTCCATAATTTTCTTAGACTTTTTACATAATTTAACGTAAAATGTCCACTACAATAATGCTTAAATGTGCCTTTTTGGAACCATGTTTGTTAAGAATTTGTTGAATAGCTAATTATTATAAGTCTTTCTTATAAATGGCTGATTTTTAAATCAATAGAAAAATAGATTATGCCGTGAAGTACTATAACTTTTTAAGAGAGAATAAATCTTTTCAAGCTTGTTATTTTCTTGCTCAACAACTCTTGAGTTCACATGGCACTTGCTTTTTCTTTTATACCACATTTGTAATACACAATAAACAAACAAATGCACAAAATCATCACTGGATAGAAAGATTATTTCTAATGAGAAAAATTTTTTTGTACCCTCAAGTCAGCATATTTTTACGATGCACTTCTTATAGATATAAATTACTAAAAAATAATATTCAAATTCCTCTTAGACTATACTCTTTAAATTTCATTATATATAAAGAAATACTTTTAATTCTTTGAGTGATACATATTGCTAATTTAACATACTACGACTGAATGAGTTAAATCTATTTTTGTTTTTATGAATGAGTAATGATGTGCACTTTCTATAATATCTACTTCTAATCACTTTATTCAAACATTTCGTGAGGTGAATGCTCTTTCAGCTAACTCTCTCATACCTTGACCTATTTATTAATTTCCCTTACTCATCCATGAACCAGATGGATAAAGCTTCAGTTCTTGGAGATGCAGTCAAGCATATCAAAGAGCTTGAAGATAGGGTGAAAACCCTTGAAAAAGATAAGATTGAGCGGAACAAATTGGAGATTGCCACAATGAACATGAAGCCATGTCAGGATCACTCTGATGATTGTGAAAGCCCTATATCTTATGTGGAGAATAACAATGTTTTTAATAACATTTCATCTCATCAGAAACTCCAGCCTCATGAGATAAAGATTAAGATTTTTGGTAAGGCAGTGCTTGTGAATATACACTGTGCAAATCATAAGGGAGTTTTGGCTAAGTTGGTTTCTTATATTGAGGAGCTCCACCTCGTGGTCAGCAACTTAAGCGCTGTGACTTTCCTTTCTGGGTCCTCCTTCCTTGATATCACATTGGCTGCACAGGCAAGTATATTAAATTTGCAGGATTTATAGGTATATTTATAATACAACAATATAATTAGATATCAGTAAAATTTTTTATAGGTCAGTATTTTTGTATTATATCAATGATAAATGTTATTTGTATCCATTGAAACTAACAAACTGTTAACATCTCTTTTATGGTACATTAAAAAAATCAATTATTTTATTATTATCGAATCAAATCAACACATGTTTAACCTCATGATTTTATTAAAAAGTTACATCATTAGCCCACTATCGCTAGTATATGTTAAAGCATTTTCACATACTCTAAGCAACATATTTTCAATATATATTATCTTTAGGTTTTGTGTGTTAAAAGTATTTCCCTTATGTGCTTGATGCTTCTGATTGGTTTTAATGTGGGTTCATCCTATGAGAGAATTGTTATATAATATATTTCATCCCATATTTTTGCTGACTTTGTGGTTTTGATTAGGATTATTGCTAAATAATAATCTAATTAATCATTTTTGTAAAAGCAACATATTTAAATAATGAATCGTACTTAAAAAGACAGCATATGTTTATCATTTATTTGTATGTTTTAGTGGTACATTTCATGTAATCTTTAATTTATTTTATATAGTAGAGTATTAAAAAAAATAAAAACTATTCACCTTTATATACACCAAGAAAATTAATAAGATATGAAATCTCATAAGATTTATACTCAATTTGGTTATACAATAAATTTGCAAAGGTGACATCATAATAAATTGTCTAGATAGTGTGATAAAAATATTCATCGGTTGTAAGAAGTGATAAGGATCAATTTAAATAGAACTTCCTTAGCATGCATACTATAACTTGGAACAAAATAAACAAATCAATTTTACAAATAAATAGGTTAAACAATGTTTTGTTAAGGAAAGTTATAAGCTTATCATTTTTTATCAAATTTAATAAATAATTGAACTTTACTAAAATTGTGAAAATTGATCAAAATAGACCATCAAGTTATTCTTAGGTTCTATATCAACATTAATAATTCAATATTAATGCTAAAAATATTAAAAAGGTGCATGAAATTCTTTTATATATGATGTACCTTTATATGCCAGATTGCATGGATTTAGATAAATAAATGTCTAGGTTTATAACAACACTTTTGCTTTTATTTTATATTCCTAGGTTGAAGTGGGTTGCTTCATCACAGTGGAAGATGTTGCAAAGAAGTTGAATTCTGCTTTAAGCCAATTTAACTAATGAATGTGAGCATTTTGTAAAGACTAATGTTGTTGTGCTCTCTCTTGTTTTTATTCTAACTATAAGTCAGTTTTAGTTGAAATGCATGAAAAAAAATATTTTATAAGGCTTTTTGTAAATATGTGCTTCCTATGCGCATAGAATCTAAGGAGCTCAAAGCCAGGCTCACTAGCTTCGTGCATGTTTATTTTCTTATCATTTATGATTCTTCGAGTGATGGTTGTTCTGTACTATAAATTTGTTTGTTCTTTACTTGGGTTACTTGCTAGTCGCTTTCATTAGGGCGAGCTAGGTTAGAAGTACGTATATATACATATACATACAATAATAGTTGCATATTTTTAGCATAAATTAGGTGTAAGGATCCTAGTTTCGACTGTTTATGTACCTCAATTGCGATGAAACTACATGCAGTTTGAGGAAAATACAAGTAGTTATAGAATTGGGCCACATTGCGTCTTGAAGAAAATTGAAAAAAATATATCACGATATGTATTTTCTGCCTAAATGCTGACTGCCCGGTACCTCTACATACTATGATAATTCGGAATGAGGTGCTCATGATTATGTTTTTGATTGATTCCGTTGGCTTCGTGGAGCATTAAGTTCCATACATTGGATGATTGTTCACCTTAGTCCTTTGAGAAATTTTACGAATTCATTACATGCTGCAACTTTTACTTTGATTTGGTGTTGATTAGTCTTCATATGCCCCTTCACAGTGACTTCATATTTTCTTAGGGGCCAACTGATAGTGTTAAAATCTCTAATATAGCTAAATAATTTTGTGACGTTCACGTCACGGATGAAAAAGAGTTTTTTTGTTTAAAAACAAAAATGAAACTAAGTGCACACTAATACACCTATATAGTCGAGCTTCACCAAAACTTGTCTCATAAACCAGACTAAACTATGCGCTAGAAATAAGTTACAAGTTTCACCGATATTCAAAATATGATTAACAAAGAAAACTAACGGTTAGTGCATGTAGGTAAAAAATTAAAAATAGAGATCGATTGTGGGTAAGGAATTTAAAGGATCAAATGATCTATGTATAAAGAGGGGTCACTTTTGTGTTTTTATTTTATTTTAATTTATTTATATTTTAATTTAAAATGAATTTTGTTTTATTTTATTTAGGTGGTCACCGATTAGCACCAAAAATGATCAGCAATGATTGACAGGCAAATGTGAATAAACTAATTTATTTTTAAAAATAAAAAAATAAAAATATCAATGATATTTTAAAAGCTAAAATTAAAATTACTAAGACTAAAATAAAAATAATTCCAAGCAGGCCTTAAGCCTACCAAAATCATTTGATTCATACTCTCACCAATGAATGCAAAATTAATCCTCATTGACATCAAGGATACCAACAATATGATAGCCATAGAGCCAAAGTTATATTAGGAAAACACACACACACACACAGAGATATATATATATATATATATATGGGATTTGAATTCATGCATTATGTTAGGCGCATTGCTAACGCCCTATCAAAAAAATTGTGCTTATATATAATGTAAGATGTAAAATTTGTTAAATATTTAGCAGAGCTTAGTGCGCCTTTGCATCTTTTGAGTATCATATGGTTGTCAGAGCACGTGCACGCTTGCTCCTGTATGATGTAAAGGTTTAGGTGTCAATAAGTATTAATAATTAAAAGGTTAACAAATAATTAAGATGTATGATTAAGCCATGGCTGTTTGCTTAGAAAAAGATTAAGGAAGTATATTATGAGGTTAGTTGGAGATTTGGATCGATTTGGCTTAATTAGGCTATCATTATTTATTTTAAGCCTGTTTTGATGCCATTGATTAGTTTAAGGGACAAGATTTTGAGATGCTTCCTTCTCGTGATTGTGATGCAGCTGGTAGGCACTGGGCTCCCACACCATGATTTATGTGCTGTAAGTTGAGAAGAAAGTAATGCAAATTATCTTAAATATGGCTAAACCTTCCAAATATCCTTCTAAGAAATTAGAATGTACATTAGTGCTCATAAAATAGAATTTTAATTTCATTTAACTTACATGCATTTGTGTATATATGTGTGTGTCTATGGTTGATCCACCATGCATCTAATTTACTGCCCTCCATTTATTTTATTAATTTTACGGTTAAAAATATTGAAATACTTTACGTAGAGATTATGATGATTCTCAAGGGATTAAAAAACATGAATAGGAGACATAGATGGCTCTTATATCTGGCAAAAAAAAAAAAAAAATCAGAATGTGCGGACAAAAACATGTAAACAGATCTAACATTTCATTGGAAATTATACATGAAGGAATGGAAATTATTTCATATGCACTGTAACTTGTTCTGCATCTGCATGCAGTGAGACTGTCTTCAATAAATTTTGACGGAGACAACGGAACAACTTTTTCTCAGTTTCAAAAATTACCATTTTAAGATTTAGGAATAAAAAGGAAAATATCATAAACTATTATCAAGATTTATGTAATTTATTTAAATAGTCTATGCATTCACGAAAATAGAGATGCTTCATTCCACTACTAAAAAGCCATATGGTAAAAATGTCAAATTGAAAGGATGCTCCAAATCACTTAAGTAGAACCGAAAAGGGATGTGAGAAGATAAAAACGTTTATAACAATTTAAATCAGACCAAACACATCCATATGCATGCCTTTCAAAGAAGCCGCTTTTCTCTCTCCCTCTCGCTCCTTTTCTATGCCCCACATCCTTTTCATTACTCACTAGATGCTTATGTCCCTGATCTGAGGTTGAGTAAAGATAAATTTCTTCATTATGTGGACATGTAAAATATTTTGAAGAAGAGGAATGGGCAAGAAAAAAGTTAAAAGTTAAAATGCTAAGTTTCACAATATATATTGCTTTTGACATATTATTATAAAAACTAAGATCTGGAAGATGACTATATCTATCACCAATGCATTCTTTTCTTTGCATTATTGACATTTAAATTCATCAAATATTACATTTGACTTGAGGTTTGTGAAGCCTTCTTTCAGATTCTAGCCCTTGCTACCAGACCTTGGTCGACTGTAATATGTTACATCTGTAATATGTTATATGCATTGATTTTTCTTTTAGTTTTGGTTAATTAAATTTTTCTGCATTGTGATTTCTTTTGAAGTTCCATTTTTCATTCCCTATTTAAATTACTATTCTATTTAATTTTGCACTGTGAAAAAATTTTCTGTCCAGACTCCAAACGTAGCTCTACGTGCGGACTCCCAGTAACATGCTGCCAAGAGTGCTATATCTGACCATTCTACAAAAATCTTAAAGTGGAACTGCGAACTCTGCAACAACCCCGAAATAACCAATAAATAACCCCAAAATAACATCTGCGGTACCACTTCAATAACTCTGAAATAACACTACTGTTGACCTCATTTTTGAGTTCTTTATTTCCCTTCCCTAGATACCCTTAGATCTAGCCTTAGGATTTTCTATTTTGACTCTGCTAGAGGACTACACTGGGACCTAAAATATTTAGAAATTCAAGTCATTTCTTTGCTTTTTGAAGTTTCATATGAACGGTTTCAGATCCTTAACATTCAATTGAGTTGATTGATAAGACGACATATTGAAGCTCAAATTACACTCTTATAGAAATTTAAAAGACATAGGTGGACCCCATGATGTGTGCGACGTTTAACTTGCCACCACGAGCGATGTGCTTGACTTTGGTTGTCGTTTATGCGAGGACCGATCAACAATTTTTTTTGTTAAATGACTCCGATCAGATAAAGATAATTTCATTTGTCGTGTCACGAATGAATGAATTGTATCGAATTTGATTTTTTTTATAAAAATTAATAAAACCTTTTTTTTTAATAAAAGTTTCTGTAAAAAAAAATTAAAGGCCCTAAACTCAAACCTCTCCCTCACGTGTGCTCCCCTTCTCCTATTGGGACCGAACCAAGCCCTAGCTCCTTATTCCACTCGGTTGAGTAGCAAAGCCTCCCTTTCCGGTTTCTACGGTCACCTCCTTCCTCTCCGGTAGCAACTTACCTTCTTCTCCGGTCATAACTGCCGGTCACTTTCTTTTAATGGTTTTTCCCGCGCAACGAATTTGGTAATCCTTTCGTTCTTGGGTTTGAGCGTTTCCCTTATCGTGATCCTTCTGCCCTCACGGTGGCTATAAATACCCCCGGGGAGGAGAACTTTGGGTGGCGATTTTTTTTTACGTTGAAGAGGAGCGACTGGAAAAGATTGTTTGGAGATTTTCAGGGAAACAAATTGCAAGAGTTTATTCTCTATTGGAAGCTTCTCTCTCGTGATCTTTCTAATTCTTCTCGTTCTTAAGTTCGCAAGAAGCTGAGGTAATATTCCATTTACTTCTAAAGTTTGATTATAGAATAGTAGTGAAATAGATCTTAACATCTCTTCTATTAATCATACTTGATTGTTTGGAATAGTTACCTTCTTTAGCACCTTGGAATTTATTTCAAATCAATGGAAGGTGTTGATTTAGTTTTTTGATTAGTTGTTCATGTAATACCTTTTGTTAGATCATAGGATTGATAGTTCAACTTGAGTTAATATTTTTAGTTTGATCATTACTTTGATGAAGGATTGGGGTTGATTTTCTGTTTTCTTGCTACCCCTATGAGAGTAAAACATATTGGAGATTTATTTCCTGGTTTTGATCACTTGTTTGAGGCTGGTGTTCTATTTTTCTTGCTTCTCCTATGTGAATAAACATATTGGAGGTCTAATTTTTAGTTTTCATTAATAGATTGGAGGCTGGGATATGTTCTTCGTGCTGCTCCTATGTGAGTAAATTATATTGGAGATTTTTTCTTGGTTTTGATCACTTATTTGAGGATGGTTTTCTGTTCTCCTTGCTACCCCTATTCGAATAAATATTTGGAGGTTATTTTGGTTTCGAATAACCAGTTGGGTTGCGGTTTCTACTCTTATTGTTGCTCCTATTTGAATATATATGTTGAGATCATTTTTTTGTTTTAAATATAAGATTTGGGGCTGCAGTTTTGCTTCTCTTGCCGCCTCATTCAAATACACATATTGGAGATTTATCTTTGGATTTTTTTTAGAAGTAATTTGGGCCGCAGTGCTACTCTTCTTGCTGCCTTTATTTGAATACATATTGAAGATCTTTCTTTTAGTTTTGAATATTAATTTGGGGCCCAATTTCTTGCTCCTCTTGCTACCCTTATTTGAATACATGTGTTGGAAATTACTTTTGGTTCTGAATAATCAGTTTGGGGCTAGTTTATGTTCTTCTTGTTGCCCCTTATTCGAACATATGTTGGAGATTATTCCTTATTTTCAATAATTACTTCTGAAGCTTAATTCATGCTCTTCTTATTGCCCCTTGCATGCATACATGATTGGAAATCATTTTCTGGTTTTAAAAACTGCTTTAATATCTCAGTTTTGCTATTACTGCTCCTATTTGAATATACACTGGAATTATTTGGTGGTTTAGATAGCTGCTTTAGTGTCTCGAGCAATAACTCAATTTTAGCCCCTTCATGCTAGAATCGAGCTTGACTTTTTGATGGTTCAGTTTGTCTCTTTATGTTGGGCTCGAGCTTGTCTTTTTGATAGTTTGGTTTAGCCCCTTTATGTTGGACTCGAGCTTATCTTTTTGATGGTTCGATTTGGTCGCTTATGCTAAGCTCGAGCTTGTCTTTTTGTGGTTTGATTTAGCTTATTTATGCTGGGCTCAAGCTTATCTTTTCTAAGGTTCGATTTATCCTTTATGCTGGGCTCGATTTTGTTTCTTAATGGCTCAGTTTTGCCCCCTCTGGTGTCTTGGTTTTGCATGGTGATGGCTCAGGCTTTGCCTCTTTGCTGGCCTCGATTTTTTTTTGTGGTAGTTTTGTTTTTAACAATCAATTGGATTCAATTCTACCCCCTCATTTATTTGTGAAGTATATCATATGGTGGCTTAGGTTCTAGCCCTTTACTGGAATTGGCTTTTTGGTTGTATAAATTTCATGGATTTGAATTTGGCAATATGAGAATAGAAGCATACTCCTCTTTAGAAAATTGATAAAATATGTCATGATCATTTACATGTTTAAAGTTTGATCTTAGATGTGGAAGGTGGATGTTATAGAAATGCTTAAATGATTACTTCTTCTATTTTTCTTGACATAAAAAATATATATAATTCTATCGGATGAGCATATGAAACATTGAGGTGACCTATAGTTCGAGATGAGGGGCAACAGACAATGATGCAAAGAACCACTCATCATCTTTTCTTATAGCTGAAAATATAAAATAAAATATAAAATCAATATAATATTCAATTAAGTGAGATGCCCTTTCACTTCCTTAAGTAGTCGGCAGCTCTAACCCTCTTCAAAAGGTTTGAGAATTGGCAGTTAGAAAAGAGCAGATACTACATACCACTTGTTAGACATCATCTTTATACGTTCAGATACTGCATGCCACCCATTTAAAATATCATATATATAGGTGCACCACGCCTTGATAAGTTTAGATACTATTTAATCCACACATCCATTAAATGATAGGGTTTAGGGTTGCTCGACTATAGGGGGGATTCGTCGGTGACCTCTAGTTGATATTGATAGGTTGACTTCAACATATCGGTAGCCTAGGGGGTTGAGAAAATTAAAAAAAGTCTAGTTTGAGTCTATCCCCAAATTTAAATCTGATACCCCACTTCGAGATTTTTATACGCTCATCATTTAGCTTTTCTTTCGTAATAAGCAAATGCTTATTTAATCTCTCCTATGTCATTGCAATGTATTTTGAAATGTTAACAGAGCTCATCAGGTACATTTAGTAATTTTAGTTTTGTTCCTTTACTGCATATTTCACTTTACTGCATAGTCTTTCTTTTCTTTATATTGGTTTACTTTCATAGTTTTCTTTAAGTATTTTTCTGTTACAGTACTTT